AATGAAGAGGTGAAACTCCTTGAGGTAGGGGTTGATGTGCAGAAGAAAGTGTGAAGGGCTCAGTTCCTTACACTCCTGCTCTCCAGGGGGCAGAAATGTATCCTTGGGAGGGTGGGTTAGATGGGGGGCTGGATCAGTTTCTGGAGCTGCATAAAAAATAGGAAAGATATGTCTGCCTTTTCTTCACCCTTTTCTTCCTTCATAACTGAGAAAGATATCTGTATCCTGAGACCATGGGAGCTGAACTACAAGTGTTCTCATCTCTGGTGGGAAAAATGCCAGCATCTTACTCTTCTGGGGATGATAGGGTATGTAGTTCAACCACCATGGCCCAAGATGAAATAAGTAAAGGCCTGCATCTCTGGTTACAAAAAAACGTGAAACAACTGGAGCACTGCCATTGGACTGATGTCAGACTGTGATTGTACATCTGACAGTTTTGTTTAGGGTTATCAGATTCAAAAGAGACCACAGAGCACCTCAGACTATTTTGCTTTTTTACAGAATTGTCCTACTATTATTAACCTCAGGCTAATCGCTTCTGTGATTATGATTACAAATTGTTTCCCATCATCTAGAATGACAGTTAATTTATTTTTACTTTCCATCTGTTGTGTTCATTTGCATTGGTGGCATTACACCAGAGCACTCCGAGTGGCTTAATAAAAAAATGAAAGGAAGTAAAACAGCTGGATCAGAATTCCCATTTTATGAAAAGTGGGGGAGGGGTGTTGAAGGCTGTCTTCCAGCTAATAACAAGTGTCAGAAAAATCAATGTGAAAGATGTCACTGTTTACTTGAAAGGGACAGCGTATTGTGATTGTTTTGGCATTCATCTTACAAAACTGTTGAATGGAGCTTTGAAGTTGGACCTGTGGAAGACCAAGATATCCCAGACTTGATTGATAATGACATCAGGCAATCTACTGCTTTGTGTCTTAGTTCCTCATCTGTGAAATGTGACATCAATTCTCCTTCACAAGACTGACTGAGAAAGGATTTGAAAGCTCTGTGGCTATCAAAAGCACTATCAAATTGGCTATAATCCAGTGCACAGTTACCCATTCTTAGTCAAATTCAGTGGTACTCTTGAAAGCAGGACCGTGTGCCCTGCTTTCATAAATGTATATAGTTAGCCTAGCTTCATTGTTTGGTCATGTGCCAGCCTGCTTGTCCAGGGTACCTCCTGTCAACTGTAGGATAGGTACATATAGGTCTTTCTTTATGTGATCAAAGGATAGTAAGGTGCATTTCCTTCCTCTACTTAACTGTTTCTTACTGAAGTCATACTGTTGCTACCACCATGGGTCACATCAAGAGAAAAAGTACATCTCCCCCTCAAATCATCCAGAACAAAATTTTGTGATCCAAAAAAGGCCCTTGTCCACCTGTCACCTGCTGCTGCCTTTTGAGGAATGCTTTTCTTTCCACATGCTTCTTCTGAACACCACTTCTTATTTCAATATGTGTGCTACTGCCATTCTATCCTTGTCTGGTTTCACTGTTTTTGTTCTAATTGATGTTTTATATGTTATTGTATATTGTTTATTATTGTAAGCAGCTTTGAGTACCTGATGGAAAGGTATGGTAAACATCCTTACAATAAAGAAATAAAGTATGCTCATGGTTCTTTCCTGCCCAAGGGTGTGGCAACTTTCTTGCAAACATATGAATGCAGTGGGATTGTCTCTTCTTCCTCCCCCAGAAGCCCCTACTGCAGAAGCATTTCATAATGTAGTGATGGCGCTAATGTGTCCATGTTGACTCTGAACAAGGGGGATCTTCTGAGCCCCTTGCAAGGATGAGAGCCAGTGTGGCGTAGTGGTTAAGAGCATGGGACTGGGACTCAGAGGATCTGGGTTCTAGTCCCTGCTCAGCCATGGAGCCAACTGGGTGACTTTGGGCCAGTCACAGACTCTCAGCCCAACCTACCTCACAGGGTTGTTGTTGTGGGGATAAGATGGAGGAGGAGATGTAAGCTGCCTTGAGCCCTTAGTAGGAAAAAGGCAGGATATAAATCGAAAAATAAATAAATAAAAGGAGAAAATTCCCTGCCTGCACCCCAAACTCTCCCAGATTTCCCAAATCTCACCCTAGTGGAATGTCTCTCTTGCTGTCAACTTTTTGCCTACCAGTTTTTGCCCACCATCCCTCTCTTATTCACCTCTTCACCCATACTTTTTCAAAGTTATCAAGTGCAGGATGGAGCACAGAGCAAAATCATCAACAGGCAGAGTTGCCAAATGCCAGAGAGCCAAAACAGACATTACTTTAAATCTGTATCTAGAAACAATCTCCTTCCTTAATTTTTACTTTAGGAGTGATTCCCCAGTGTAGGTGGTAAGGGGGATTTTGATCCAGATTGTTATTTTTATTCTGTAGTCTTCCTACTACTATGTTTGTCTTTTATTAAACTCAAGTAAATATAAAAATGCTAAGAAGTTTTATTACTCTTGTGGTAACAGGAATCCTCAGAAGACAAGATATATGCTTTATTAAATACAGTCTGCCTAAAAATTCATACAGGCCACTACAAAATGCAAGGAATATGTTGCCTATGGACAGAGACTGAGATTCAGTCAGTGCTTACTGTGATAAATATTTCACTTTGTTAGTGCATCCTCAGCATATATTCTCTCACTCCTGGTATTTGTGACTTCTTTGTGTGATAAATATATTTATGTCATAATCTGCACTGGATTCAGAGAGCCTCCCCTGCCACTGAATAGCCACAGACAATTCGACCGCATCAGCCTGGTTGAATACAGGTGATGTTTAGCAACTGAGGAGGGAGTTTTAAAACCAGAAACTCTATGCAAATTTCATTTCAGCCATCATCTCACTAGATGATTTAAATTCTTAGCCAGAGTTCCTTCTTTTTCTCCTGCTGATATCTGAAAGTGGCTGCACTCAGTTCTGTAACCCCTGTGCCAAAGAAGAGATTTTGAACCTCAGCAAAGACCTGGTTATTCGTGAGTCTTTGGCATCGTCAGCTTAGTAGTCATGGCAAAAATCTGTTCAACTGGCTGTTGCCTTTTTTAATTCATTCCCTGTTAGAAAGTGGCATCCTCTGGATGCTTTGGACTATAACACTCAGCCTTCTTGACCATTTGCCATGCTGGCTGGGGCTAATGGGATTTGAAGTTTGCTCGGCTTGCTCTATCACTTCAGGTCTTTTCCATGAAACACAAGTATAAGTACTCTTGAGGTACATTCATGGCACATCCAGTGTGATGGTGGGGTGGATAAGGCATCCAAAGCCATACTATTCAGGGATGAATTTCACTGGGTGGCCTTAGCCAAAGGCTACCATCTCCCAACACGACCTACCTCACACTTCTGTATTTATTTATTATCTTTATAATCTACCATTTCCTGTAAGGAACCCAATGTGGGTTGCATAATCCCTCTCGGTCTTATTCTCACAATAATTCTGTGAAGTAGGTTAGGCTGAGAGTCGGTGACTGGCCCAAAGTCACCTATTAAGTTTTATAGTTGAGTGGGGACTAGAACCCCAGTCTCTTGCATCCCAGTTCATCAGTAATCACTACACCACACTGGTTTATTTTATTTTTCTGATAAAACATATGAAAATACTTTTTCTTATTAGTACTGTTTGATATTATTAATTTAGACAGTATCATCCAGTGTTCCTAATATGCATTAAGCAACATTTAAGAGGCAGATTCTAGTCTGGAGGAGCTTATAAACTAACTTCTAGTCCAAATGGAAGGAAAGAAAGATTTTCGAGTTGCTAGGTTTCTGTTTTTTCAGGCCTTAATGAAAATTAAAACAAGAAGCTCTGGAGGACAATCATTTTGACACTCTAAGGTTGCAATCCTAAGCAAATTTATTAAAAAAAAGAGTTCTACAATTCCCAGCATGCCTCAGCCAGCAGAGCTGGCCTTGCAACATGTTTAAACTTGCACAGGATTGCCCTCTAGGGAAGCAATTGCAACAGTACTGCAAACTGTTCTTCAGAAGGCAGACTGCCAGTTTTATTTGCATTTACACATTTAAATTAGCTTCTGCTTCACCTTTTCAAATGCAAAGTGAAACTGAAATTAACCAATCCAGACACCTTTGAAGAGCTTTTGGGAGTGAAGGACAGAATAACTAATGTTTTCCTTTTGAAATGCATTTATTGCAGAAGGCTTCAGACTATCGCAGGGATGATTTCCAGATTTACTATTGAATTAGAACAACAAAAACAAAACAAAGCAGCAGCTTTTAAACAGTGCCCAGATTTTTTGTTGTGATGGAACATCAGGTGTTCAGGTGCATCAGAAAATGAGACATACAGACACGTGATTCCAAATGTGTCTTTGAATTGTATGATTAAGATTCGCTCTCTTTTTAGAATAACCCAGCAGCTGCAGCCCTCCCCACCCCAATGGATATGGGCAGATTTGGAGAGAAAGACGTAGCCCCTTTCCCCACTGAAAATCACTCTCTGCGCACAATAGCAGGACAAATAGCTGCTGCAGGAGACATTTTCAGGGGCAAATTGGCATGAGGGAGGGTTTTAATCATTCCTTCTCTCAAACTGTTGCTAACTTTAAAAACTTTAAACAAGAGGAGAATCCTGGTTATGGGATTCAGAAACACATTTTGTGTCACATATAGTTTGAACCCAATTATCCCAAGAAAATACATGATGTATGAGTCAGCGAGAAAAAAAAAAAAACCTTAGTAATGCAATCATTTCTGAAGCTCTAGCCTGCCTATCAAAGAAAATAAAGCCAACACTGTATATTCTGAAATAGGCTTTTCCAAGTTGGTGTCTCCCAGACAAGCCGGACAAGTCTCATCACCCCACAAACCAATAATGTTACCTGCAGATGTTGGGAATTAAACTCCAACTCATCTGGAAGGAAATCTGGAAGATCAGAGAAGGCTGCTGTAATCTGTGCATTTGTTTTTTATGTAGTGATATTTTTGAATGTTTTAAACATTAGATGTTAATTCTTGCCATGTTTGTATACTTATAATCTTTCAAGGAGCTCTGGGAAGGAGTTATCACGTTCTGTCTTCACAGCAAAGGATAAAGAAAATGGTGAGGTAGGTTAGGCTGGGGAAGGGACGCTTTGTCCAAGACCACACAGATCTCTGTGGCTAAACAGGGCTTAAAATTCAGATCTCTCAGGCCTTCCCTCTCATCATACTGAATGTATGGCAAAATGTCTGAACACTTCACCATCCATCCCAGCCTCAATAAGAAATGTTTATTTAATAATGGAATAAGAATTACATTTACATCAGCTATAAGTATTCTATTCTTGTTTTAATTGGCTATTTTTTAAATCTAGAAAGGCTTTCAAGATGTTTGATTACTGTTTGCCTGTTTTTATTTCTTACTCAGCCCTGCTCCTAGTTCAAAAAAGCTTTGGGGGACCACATTCCAGTTGATGGTGGAGCCAGAGGCAAAAGCAGTTGAACTCTTGTACCTGCTTGTTAAAGATTAAAGTTAAAGATTTTGCTGCTGTTATCAAAGTTTTATAAGAGGCATTTCAGCATTTGAAATGGGGAGACATTGCACAAAACCCAGAGAACCGAGTGGAATTGGATTGTGTGGTAAATAATTGCCGGATTAGGACCCCTAGATAAGGACAGAACCATGTGTCCTTGACTGTCCAAGAGAATACACTAGCCAAGAGTAGCAAAAGCTGCAAGTAATAACAAGGTTGCTCTCCCTTCATCCCTGGCAAGAAAAGCCATCCAGGATGACCATGGCCTGTTCAGGCCCCAAACTAGGCCTGAACCTAGACTGGAATGGGTCTGAATTCAAAGATGATACCCAATAGGTGTCAGTAGATACTATCCAAACAAATCATTTCCCTATGTCACTGTAAATAAATGGCAGTGGAGGCAATTTTAAATGAATGGGCAGTGCTTTTTTCAAGCAATGCCAAAAATCACCCTCCAAAATGTGGAAGGTTTTCATCACTACTGAAATTTGGCAAACATGTTTAGCCTGATCCTAGCAAGAAGGTTGTGCAGCACAAGAAGGAATAAATTTATTTATTTATAAACAAATTTATAAATTTATAGCACAGTCATACCAACCTTTATGCCTGAAGTCGAAGAGGTCAAATGCTAAGTGAACTGGGGACAGCCAGCCAGCATGGAGATGGAGCGTGACTTTGCAGACTGCAGTTATTGTGAATTTTATATGATCTGCAACTCACAAGTATCTTTCTCCATGGAAAGACAAGTCTCATAAAAAGATACAAATGTAAACGGCATAGGATTTATTCCCAGTTTCATTTAAAAATTTAATCTGGCTGAACTCTCTTAGATGGTTCCCAAAAGCACATAAACAGAAAACCTTGGTTTGAAAGTCAGAACATGGAACTATTGACTGCTTAGCAGAACTTGCTTAGTCTTGTCTGTGTTCACAGCAGACTGGGGAACTTTGGGCCTTAATTCTGTGGCACAGATTTAGCCTAAGAGTTTGATTACTATTTTAAAAGATTCTGTACACCTTTACTCAGAATTAAACCAGTTCAAAATAAGAAGGGAGGTATCACATTTCCATTCTATAAATGCCCATTCATTTGGAAGATCTGGCTGAAAATAGTCCTTATAGGATGGAGAAGGATCAGGTGTTGGCTTTCCACCCACCCACCCGTCCAGTCACTGTGTATGGTGAATGCTCCAAGCGGAGGTTCATATATGCAGAGGCCTGATTTATGTAATCTTTCATCTCCTTTTTTTTTTTTTTTTTTTGAAGAGGAATACTGTCAAAGTTCAAGACTCTACATGGAGCATTTCATCACAGATCCACCCACAGGATCAACCTCATATCTTTTACAAGTAAATTGAGCACATAGACACGGAGAATTGCTGAAACAAAGAAGACTTGGGGAAACTGGAAGTGGACTTTTTGCATGGAAGGACTGTGAGGCAGCTTGTTGGCTCATCATTATTCCTATCTTCATGCAAGAGAAGTTTGAGCCATTAATTTTGCCAAAAATGTATTTCTAGAAAATTACCACTTTTTCACATCTACAGGGAAACACAGAGCTCATATCTGTTAGAGATAATATACCCCATAGTCTGTTAGCTAATTGGCAATTTAAGACTTCAGGCAGAGTTTATTACTTATCTGATCATATTTGTCCCAAGAGGCATATCACAAATGATTCAATTTGAGGAATTTGATTAATGATATCACAAGTGACATTGACAGACAGGCATCTATAAGGTTAAGTCTTTGAGTTCAGGTAAATACAGTTAAAATGAAGGCAATACCTTGAATTGTTTGTGTTTTACATGCTTACTTCTTTATTAAGCTTAAGTTCATAAATTCTTATTGGGTTCCACTCCATCCAGAATATCTTTTTAAAGGATGCAACTTTCAATCAAAAAGGCTGTGGTCATACCAAAACAGATGATGTGCTTTCTCCAGTTGTCATAGTAAGAGAGCTATAGTATATATTTTCATGTCAATTGCAGTTTAACAGTGTTTTACACACAGAATTTTATGGGGAAATCCAGATATAATTGGCAAAAAAAAAGTTTGTGTGGCAGACTTGGACAGACAGACTGATTTTTACTTGGCTCATGATGTCATTTTCAACTAGAGTTGTGCCAATCCTCCCCAGAATCTGCCTCTTCTGACTTCTTCTTGTGCTTGTTTTGTAGTCTGTAGATTAAACTTTGTTACATGATTGTACTGCTATTTTCATATTTGTATTTTGTTTTTCCCTTCAGGTGGATTTGGCTCAGAATAAAGGCAAATAAATAAATGAGGGCTAAGCTCATTGTAGTTAGCTTGTTCCATTGGTTTATATGCAACTCAAGCCTAATTTTAGTAGGATTTGGGACTTAGTAGGGAAGCTGTTAGAATATATGGAAAGTATATATAGTATATACGATATATAAGGAGGGTTCTAGAGCAGTACCCTATTTTCATGGATATCATGTTAGATCACTACCAGATCACTTCTCCATACGTGCACAAAGTCTTTCCCTTAGCCAATACCTTCCCACTGCAATCCCTTCTGCCTCAAAGTTCAGGAAAACATCCAGGGAAGGATTTTGACTGTTTAAGTGAGCATTGCCAACCCCTGCTACATCCCCAGAGGGCTTTTTGCTTATCCACATGGTTTTTGGATCCTGGTCGTAGTAAATAACTTGGCAACTTGTTTGTGTGTGGCTCAGCTTATTAACTCTCTTGTTCTTTTCTAAAACCATGCACATTTCTTCAAGGGGCCAGGCACATGTCCGATCCCCACTGCCAAAAAGCAAGCTATTTCAAATGGACTGGATTCATTTATCTCACAATTTAAGAAACTTGATTGATTTAATTTAAAGGTATAAATGATAAAAACACAATGATAAATCATTGTGTTTTTACAGAAAAATATTTTCCCTGTCAACAGAATGTTAAACTCACTGGCAGCCTAAACTGTCCAAGGAATTAAAAAAGCAGCTCTTCTTTCCAAACTGTAATAAAGTTGGACAAGTGATAAGCTTCCTGGATTTACAAGTTTTCCAACCAATCATTTCCTATTTCATTTCCCTTCAATCTTGCTTCACTTCTATATTTTTCTTCTGAGAACAGACTGTTTTGTGTTTCAGGTAAAGACAATTTTACTTTGCTCCAGCTCATTCTCTGAAATGTTATTTTGTTAGAAGAATATCTAATGAAGACTTGAAAGAATTGGCACAGAGAGCCCTTGAAGTGGGCCAACTGGGAATTTTAATTTCTCAGTAGTTGAAATTCACTGTTGATGCATCAAGGATAAATATATATTAAGTTATATTTATATATTGTTGGCCATTCTCTTAATTGTAAGGAAGTAAAAATTGAAGTTGGCATAGGCAGGTTCACTGAGATTTTCAGTTTGATGCATAGAAGCAGCACCTGCAAATGTCATAGAAGCAGACATTTGTAGCATATGTCTGCAGATAACATTAGACGTATTCTTTCCTCCTCTTTGTTCCTTTCGTTCTTACTGTCTTTGGAACTCACTGTCAGCTGAGGCCCAGTCAACATCATCTTTTCCTTGACGTGGAATTGCTTCTGTGTCACCTTTCGTATCTTTCCTCCTCCAAATTCTTTCTCTTGTTTTCCCCCTCACCTTCTTTTCCCTGTTGTTTTGACCACCTTATAAGGCTTTCAACAGGCCCTGTTTTCATCTGTGTTTCTTTCAAGGACTTTATTTATAAGAAAAGATACAATCTGATGTTGTAAAGTGGACTTATCACTCATTCAGTGGAACTTTTCCTTCCTCTTGGGCAGGGTAAGGAGGAATACATTCCACTTGACAGAATTAATTTTCTTGTGGCTAAATTAATTTGAAAAAACATTATTATTATTAGTAGTAGTAGTAGAGTAGTAGTATTGCTATTACAACAACTGCTATTACCACCACAACCACCACTTGCAGGAGAATAGAAAACACAGACTGTTGCCTTGTTATTTCATTGGATGACTGAGAGTATTTGTATCACATACAGTCGCTTGAAGGGTTCTTTGGCCCTCTTTCTATTTGCCTATGGTTGAACTCCATGCATTTTTATCTAAATGACAGAAATGGCTCCATGTGGAACTGCAGCACTGACAAGGGAAATTAACTCATGATCTATCTCTCTCCCATGGCTCTGTCATTTAAACATTACTACTTCACCATGGAATGCAGCCCTTGCAAAGCCCATACTGCACCAGTAACATATGAATCAGGGCAACTTTTTGTTTTTACAAAGGTATTCAACGGTTATTCCAAGATGTTCAGCATCCAGTTCAAAGTCATTAACTGATTGGTGAATGTTTGAAGCCAAGTGTTCTCCGAGCAAAACTGGCACCTCCAGGCCAACTTTATAGTCATGGAAAAACAGCAGAATAATTTGATCTGTATAAATAATATAGAGAGCATGCTATGTGAATAAAGCATTTACACAGTTTTTTGTTTTGCATGATGCTGCTGCCAGCCCTGAGGAGGGGCAAAGGACTGTGCAAGTTGCTTAAGTTCCATTCCCCAAGCACTGGGAATCTTATGGAAGCACTGATCAGGTTTCTGAGATGCCAGAAAACACTTCCACATGCAGCTCAAGTACTAGAAGTTTTTGTTTTTAGGAAACAAAAAAAAGGAGGAGTCCAAGAAAATATATTTAGACACTAGCTGTCCTTTGACCTTGGAAAATGCTTGGAGGTGTTTCTACTGAATTTATACACTTGCATGGACTTCATTTTGGAGGGTCAGGTTATCACAGATTAATCCTTTGACTATGTTTGAGAGATGACATGCTGTGTGCTCTATTAGAAATTTAAGGAATGTGTTGAAAGCTTGCTTAATTATCAATTTCTAATAAATATTAATCATGCTTCCCCACCACTGTTCTTAAAGCTCTCTTTCTGCAGCTGTTGTGCAGTTTTTGCTTGCCCAGCACAGCAAAATTCTACCTAGGCTAGTTGGAGTTGCAGTAGTGTCAACATGACCAATTTCTGACTGAACTGTGAAGCCCATGTCTGGGCTGTACCACTTCAGATGGCAGGTAAAGGCTCACATGATTGAGTGCCTCATCCATAAGATTCCTTCCACATAGAAAATTGCACAAGTAAGAAAACCTAGTTTTAAAAACCATCTTCCCCACATGCTACTTTTCTATATGGCAGAAAACAGTAGGAATTAGAATTTTTCCATGTGATGCCCCATCTGCAGCCTGAAATAGTTCAAGCCCTAATCCAGTTTTACCACCTTAGAGAGAGCCTCAGGCTACCCAGTATTTCCAACATTTTGCATCTTTCTGTTTTAATGAAAACAACACAGATGGACTTGAAAAGAACTGCAATGGCTCTTTTGTCTGATATTGGTCTGGGAAAATTAAACCAGTGAATTTTTAGCAGAAACAACACTGGCCAGCTGTCTTGGAAGCAACCTGCCTTTCTTCCCCTCATTCTAATACAAGCTTGCTCAACTTCTGATCCTACAAGCAAAGTTTTCTATCCATGTGTTGTGGCCTGCTAGAAAAAATAAAAAGTTTGAAGAGCCCAAGCAGGCAGTCATAAATAGATGATGAACTGCATTGGATCTCGTAGCTCAGAGGTTGGGCAAGCATGGTTTAATGTTTTCCTATAAAAGTCGATTGGAAGAGGACGGAGTTGAGTTGGACAGGCTTAAAGCCCTGTGGAGCTGTCCATGCCATGGTGCTGAACAGTGACTACTGGAACTGAGGATCCCAGAGCAGCCACGATCACTATATGATTGTGGGCTATATATCAGGGTATGCTGCATAATGTTCTCTCACTGCTTTGGACTACAGCTCCCATAACTCCACCCAGCACAACCAAAGCTCAGGTCAGAAAGAAATAGTCCAAATTATTAAGATTAGGGGAGTTATAATCCAAAACCTTTTGCCTTTCACTGGTATTAAGAGTATCAACCTTGTTAGCTAGAACTTTAATCCCATCTCATATTAAATAAGAACTTTGGAAGACAGACTCATCTGTCTGCTGTGAATCATTTTGAACAACCTTGTTTATGTTTTTCTGTTTTTGGCTCTAGAATAAATACTTAAAATTGCAATGTAAATTGCCTTTATCGGATGAATGAGTGCTAGCCGCGCCACATTCATAGGGCCTAACGTCTGGTCAAGCCATGGGTCATGTCAAAGCCATTTTTGAGAGGCTGGGAGAATTGTTAAAAATGGGCAATGGAGACCAACCTCCTGCTCCCCGCTCAGACTGTCAGTTCCCCTATATAGCACAATCTTCTATATACTTGCTTAAAAAGAATTGTCACCAAATTCTGTGGAGCTTATTCCCAAGTGAATGTGATTAGCACTACAGTTCTAGAGCATGGAAGGCTGCTT